AAAAAGAAAAAAAAAAGCCGGAAGTGGCGCTGTGGCTCAAGTGGTAGAGCGCTAGTCTTGAGCTGAAGAGCTGAGGGACAGCGCCCAGGCCCAGAGTTCAGGCCCCATGACCGGACCTCCCCCCCCCCCAAAAAAAAAAAAGATGAGAGACTCTTGAGTTCAAGGCTAGCCCAGGCAAAGTTATCAAAACTATGTATCTAAACCAAAATAAAAAACAAAAAGGAGGGCTGGGAAGGTAGCTCAGTGGTAGAGCGCTTGCCTTGCATGCCTGAGGCCCTGGGTTCAATTCCTCAGCACCACATAAGCAAAAAGAAAAAAGCCGGAAGTGGTGCTGTGGCTCAAGTGGTAGAACGCTAGCCTTGAAAAACCAAAAAGGATGGAGGAGTAGCTCAAGTGGTAGCAATTGTGAGACCCTAGGTTCAACTCTCACTTCCCAAAACAAACAAAAACTTCTATTAGCATCTACTTGTATGTTAGAAGAAAGAGATCTATTACATTAATAGATGTTAACACAGCATTTTGTGAAACAAATATGAAGAGGCAGATATTTTTTAAAAAATATATGACAACCCAGGCACCAGTGGCTCATACCTTTAATCCTAGCTACTCAGAAGGATGAGATATGAGGATCACAATTTGAAGCCAGCCCAGGCAAGAAAATTGTGAAACTCTTATCTCTAATTAATCACCATAAAAAGCGAGAAGTGGAGCTGTGGCTCAAGTGTTAAGAGTACCAGCCTTGGGGAAACAAAGGAGGAGGCAACAATGCTTGATAAGAAATGTACTCATTATCTTGCCCATGTAATTGTAACCCCTCTGTACCGTATTTTCACAATAAAAAAATTATTATTATAAAATAAAAATTTTTAATTTAAAAATTTTAAAAATTAAAAAATTAAAAAGAGTACCAGTCTTGAATGAAAAAGGTACGGGACAGTACCCAGGCCCTGAGTTCAAGCCCCAGGATCAGCACAATGTATTTATACACACACATACACACACACACACACACATATATATATACACACTATACATACATACATATATACATATTTATATGACTAAATGGAAAGTGTCCCAGCAAATGGAAGATTCTAAAGTGTTGACAGACACATAAAACAAGGAAACAGAGGAATCTAAATCTCTCAACTAGGTCAATCAGGACACCCAACTACTACCTCAGAATCACATCAAGTTTTTCTAACAAACACCATTCTTAAAAATCCACATCTTCACTCTATATTCAAATTGATGGCAGAGGGCCGCTGTCTTGCTCCAGCTATCCTTCCCACTCAGACAGCAGGAGCCGCCTCTGTGGGGCTGATGTTGAGAAAAATATTTCAGTGCTAGCATAGAAAATCATGGTAACAATCACTGTTCCACATAAGCACCGCAGGTGCTAGTTGTTCCTTTATAAACTCCTCTCCTTTAAGGCAGCCCTGAGTGTTCATTTTATTTTACTCTTATAATGGTAGATTATTAATAGCAGTTAACATTTGTTTGGTGCTTACTATGTGCTTTGTACAATACTAAGTGCTTTACATTTGTTATCTCATTTAATTCTCATGACAACCCTATTTGGAAAATGCTATGGATACTATCATTACAGGTAAGAAAATGAAGCTAAGCAAAGACAAGTAATTTTTCAAAATATATGCAACTAGTATAAACCAGATGCAGAATATATGATTCCAATTATTCCCCCCCCCCCCCCCACTTAATCACTATACCATTATGCTTCTAAATTTACCTGCAACCAAAACAATGAAGAGAGTCAAACCACAGCAACATAATTTGACTCTCAGGTCTCTTGCTGTCCATTTCTACAGTTATATGGGGAAGAAGATTCCACAGTTTCTCAGTTATATACTCAGCTTTAACAGATCTGATTTTAAAGACATTCCTCCAGAATGTGGCTTAGTGGTAGAGTGCTTGCCTAGCACGCATGAAACCCTGGGCTTGATTCCTCAGTACCACAGAAACAGAAAAGGCCAGAAGTGGCACTGTGGCTCAAGTGGTAGAGTGCTGGCTTTGAGCAAAAGCTGAGGGACAGTGCACAGGCCCTGAGTTAAAGCCCCAGGATTGGCAAAAAAAAAAAAAAAAAAGAAGAAGAAGAGGAGGAGGAGGAGGTTCCTTTTTGTGATCAACAAATAAAAAAAGAAGAAGAGGAGGAGGAGGAGGAGGTTCCTTTTTGTGATCAACAAATAGTACTCTCTGTCCTGTAAATCCATTTCCTCTTATTATGTCTACAGTGGAAAAGTAATATAGGGAAGATGAATACACACAATAATATGACCCTCTGTGCACTCGGGATGTCACTTTCATTCTAGCCTGTTATCTGCTCACTTTTTTTTTGGGGGGGGGGTCCGGTCGTGGGGCCTGAACTCTTGGCCTGGGCCCTGTCCCTCAGCTCTTCAGCTCAAGGCTAGCGCTCTACCACTTGAGCCACAGCACCACTTCTGGCTTTTTTCTTTTTGCTTATGTGGTGCTGAGGAACTGAACCCAGGGCCTCATGCATGCAAGGCAAGTGTTCTACCACTGAGCTACCTTCCCAGGCCCTATCTGCTCACTTTTATGCTTGCATTCAGTACAACAGCTTCTACCATTTACTGGTACCCATTTGAAGCTAGGTACCAAGCACATATACTGGCTCCTTGTTATCTAGGATTTCCATTCACTGAAAACAATTTGATTAGGTCTGATGGAGAGACACCTTCACCAACAATGGGAAAACAGGAAATCTAAAATTTCAGATAAACAGTGACTTTGTGTTCATTAAATATTTTGGGGGCTCAGCATCCGTTATCTATGCCTGTTCTACACTCTGAGGAAAGTGAAGAGAACAAAATCTGACAACTACTAACCTTGTTCAGCGACCTCCAGGTGTATTCACTGACAGCCTGGCCATCTTACCTTCTAGACTTCTGCCCTTTGTAGACAGGCTTTTGCTATGTATCCCAGGCTGGCCTCAAACTCTCCACCCTTCTGCCTCCTCTGCTGGGAATTACAAGTATCAACCACCAGGCCTTACCCTCTTTCCCTTTCCTTAAACTGTAGTTAGAAACCTTATTGAGTGCCAAACATTCACACACATTCACAAATGGTGTCCATCACTCCCTACAGTGTGCAGTTAATATTAAGGGACAAAAGAAGCGATCCAATTCCTGCAAGCAAAAACCTCCTAGTCTCAGAAGAGTAAGACATACACATATAAAAAATTTTGACTACGCAAAGTAATAATTCTATGCTGGGAGGCAGGTAAATACGTGATACATGGGAGCCATTACTGGCTGAATCCAAGGTCAATGATTTATTTGGTAAAAAGGAAACTTCAGGGCTGGAAATGTGGCTTAGTGGTATAGTGCTTGCCTAGCAGGGCATGAAGCCCTGGGTTCAAATCCTCAGTACCACATACACAGAAAAAGCCAGAAGATGCCCTGTGGCTCAAGTGATAGAGTGCTAGCCTTGAACAAAAGAAGCTCAGGGACAGTGCCCAGGACTGGCAAAAAAAAAAAAAAAAAAAAGGAAACCTCAGTGGGTCAGGCTTCTTTCTTAGAAGGGGTTTTTACAGATACATTATTCCAACTTAGATCCAAAGAGCAAGGACACATCCACTGGCCAGTGTCAGAACAAGCAAAGGACACATTAACCTAACGGACCTAAGACAAAATGGCAGCAAAGAGTGTCTCCATCTGTTTGACAGGGGACAGGAAAGAAGGTATGCAGAGACTAGATTCTATCCTGTTGCACGGACCCAGGCAATCAGACTCCTGTAGCAGATCTCTTCCCAATAAAACTTTCATGCCATAGACCAGGGGTGACCCAATCCAACAGTAGCAGAGGCAGGTTTTACATTACACTTCTCCCTCACCCTGATGACCTCACTATTTCTTCTCACTCCTGACTACATACCACAGCTCCCCCAAGCACATTCCTCCTGATCTGGCCACACGAAGACCAGCAGTAATAGAACCCAGAAAGCAAGGAGCTCCCCCAAAACATGTTACCACTTGGCTAATAATCAAGTGGCCTGTTTTAACAGGGAACTTCACCTTCCCACTCCCCCCTCCTTCTTTCAAAGGATCGGGGCGTAAGCAATGGCTCCATTTTCTGTTCCGGGAATCCTCGTACTTCCTAAAGAAAGAAAGCGGATTGGAAGACACAAACTCAGGGCCCAGTGACAAAGATGCTCCCTCCTCCTGTGAGACCGCCCCCGCCAGTGACCGGGGGAGGGAAGGCCCCACCTCCCTTCTGCGAGCACGCTCAGATCCCCCTCCCCCTGCTCCAGCCTCCACACCACCCTCTCCCCACCTGCTGCCCTCTTCCCAACCTGCTGTTTCCTTAAAGAACCAGGGAGCAACCTCCACGGTGGAGGGCCTGGCCAGCGTGCCCCGTTGCTAACCCCCAGACCCAGGCCCCATTATGGGGGGGGGGGGTAACCACAGCAAGGCTTTTCTCCAGGCTCTCACAGCTAAGGCGGGGGAGGAAGAGGGAGAGAGGGAGGGGAGAGGAAGGGGGAAGGGACGAGGAGGGAGAAAGAGAGAGAGCGAGAGAGACACGGGGAAGGGGGGGGGGAGAAGCATCCCCAGCCTCTTTAACAGGGGGAAGAAGAAGAAAAAAAAAAAAGATACAAACAGCCCGACCTCACCCCCCGCATCACCCCCTTCCAGGACATCCTTCCACCCCGTCACCCCTAAGCCCACCTCCCGTAGGTTCCGCCGGCGTGAAGCCCTAACAGCAGCCTAGATCGCCCCGCATTCTGCGCGGCCGAGGACAAATTGGTGTGCGCCCCCCGCCCCCACCCGAGCTGGGCGTCCTTCAAATGCGGGGTGGGGGGGGTGCGGGCACGGGGCTGGCCCGACGCCCCCGACGCCGGAGTTCTCCGGTGCGAAAGGCCCAGGACCCAGCAGCACCGGCAAGGAGGGATGTCTACCTCCCGAGCGCCCACCCGGGCCGCGCTTCCCCTCCGCGGGGCCCGCCTGGCGCCCCCAGCCCCTCACCTGCTCCAGCTCCCGGCTCCGCCGCCGCGACCGCCGCCTCCGCCCCCGCAGGATCCGCCCGGCGCGCGCTCGCCCTCGCGCTCGCTCTCTCCTCCCTCTCCCTTTCTCTCCTCTCCGCTCCTTCAAGCTCCCAGGGCCGACTTCGGCTAGCCTCCGCTCCCCGGGCCCCGCTCCCCGGCTCCCTCCTTCCTTCCTTCCCTCCACCTAGCACCGGAAGCCGCGACGGTGACTGGAGGCTGTGCGGCGCACCCCCACCCCCAAGCCCGGGACACTTCCCACCTCCACGATCGCGCGAGAGCTGCGTGGTACCCAGCGGCAGTTCTCGCGAGACCTAATCACCATGGCAGCGGCTGCAGCAGAAGCAACCGAGAGCGCCGAAAGCTGGAGTCTTGGGCGGGGGTTGGTGTGGGGGCTGGAAGTGACTGGGCTGGGCCTCGGCTGGAGCCATCAGGGAATGGGGATGAGGCAGTGGGGACTAAATTGAGAATACCAAGCTCCGGGGCCTTTCTGGAAGTGTGTGTCTGTCTGTCTGTCTCTGGCTGTCTGCGCTTGAACTCAGGGCCTGGGAGCTGTGCTTGAGCTTTATTTGCTCCCTAGCTCCACTTCCAGCTTTTAATTGGTTCATCGACCATGAGTCTCACAGACTTTCCAGCCTGGGCTGGCTTCAAATCACAATCCTCAGATCTCAGCCTCCTGTCTAGGATTACAGTGCTGAGCCACTGCTCCCAGCCCCTATCTAGAATTTAAGGATTGTGGTCCTGTGCTGGTTGCACTGAAGATTGAGGTTGACCAAAGGGTCTTAGGAAAAGCCAGCAGCAGTTAAGTTGCCCTGCTTTTACCCTGCAAGACTTCCTTTTTATTTTTTTTCATCTACTAACTGCATACACATTCATGCTCCTACCCCCAGCAACACTGTTCTTGTGGCTCCCTATGTCTAGGACAAAATTACTTCCAATTCTGAATCAAAATCCTTTCCTTGGGACAGGCTTGGTGGTTCACACCTGCAATCTGAAGGTAGAAGCCAGTCTGGAATTACATTGCTACATATAGCTTGTCAAAAAAGTGAAGTAAATGCTGGAACTGTGGCTCAAGCCTGTAATGCTAGTTACTCAGGAGGCTAGGATATGAATATCCCTGTTCAAAGCCAGTCCAAGCAGTCTGTGAGACTCATCTCCATTTAACCAACAAAAAAGTAGGGAGTGGAGCTGTGGCTCAAGTGATAGAGTGCCATCCCTTGGAGCAAAAAGAAGTTCAGAGAGAGCGCTCAGGCCCTGAGTTAAAGTCCCAGGACTAGCATGTGTAAGTATGCACACACACACACACACACACACACAGAGTAAAAAAATCTTTTCTGATAGGAGGAAGAGCAATGAATTTAAGAGACTAAAAGAAGCCACTGGACTCTTGGCCAGTTACGAAGTTGGTACTTGAAAGACAAAGGACTGAAGCCTAATATGCAGAGCTGTTGTCTGGTGAAGTCTAAATTAGTATCCTGAGGAAAAGTGACTTTGCACCCATGTTTCTTCTTACCCATCCCCACTTCATTCACACTCATTTTTGTGCCTGGTGAAGACATGCAAAACTGCTTTTGGAACAGTCACAGCTATGTTAGAAGTTATGCTAGAAGGGCACTAGTAGTGCTAGGAACAGAAGGTTCTTTAAATGCCCTCTCATTTTTCTGCAGTGTAAGGGAACACATGGCTGTTCCCTAAAGCTGGAGCCAAAATTGTCAGTCTTCTCGATTTGTTGTCTTCCTTGCCTCATCAATCCTTGATTAAGTCTGTCTTCATTTTTAAGTTATCTGAAAAAATAACAAGACCCTAGTATATGTCACTAAGAGGACCCTAATTTAAGATGGGAGGATGAAGCCAGGTGTCAGTGGCTCACACCTGTAATCCTAGCTACTCAGGAGATCAAGATCTGAGGATTGTGGTTCAAACCCAGCCTGGACAAGAAAGTCTGTGAGACTCAGAAAAGCTACTCAGAAAAGCTGGAAATGGCACTGTGGCTCAGGGTAGAGTGCTAAACTTGAGAGAAAGAATCTCAGGAACAGTACCACCCAGGCCGAGTTAAAAACCCCAGGATGGGCACACACACACACACACACACAAATAGATGGAAAGGTGGTAGAGTGCTCATCTAGCATGCATGAAACCCTGGGTTTGATTCCTTAGTACCACATAAGCAGAAAAAGCTGAAAATAGCACTGTGGGTCAAGTGTTAGAACACTAGCCTTGAGCAAAAGAAGCACAGGGACAGTGCCCAAGCTTGAGTTCAAGCCCCAGGACTGAGGGGGAAAAAAGATGGGGGACTAGGAAGGTGGCTCAGTGGTAGAGTGCTTACCTTGCATGTATGAGGCCCTGAGTTCAATTCCTCATAAGCAAAAAAAGCCAGAAGTGGTGCTGTGGCTCAAGTGGTAGAGTGCTCACTTTGAGCTGAAGAGCTGAGTTTGACAGCACCCAGGCTCAGAGTTTAGGCCCCATGACCGACAAAAAAAAAAAAAAAAAATGGGAAAATGAAATGGACAAAAAGAACTTTTATCTGTAGCTGGATACTGGTGGCTTATGCCTATAATCCTAGCTACTCAGGAGGCTGAGATCTGAGATTCACAGTTTGAACCATCCTAAGCAAACAAATCCATGAGACTATCTCCAGTTAACTAGCAAAAGCAGTAAGTAGAGGTGTGGTAAACTGTCAGCCTTGAACACAAAAGCTAAGAGAGATCACAAAGCCCTGAGTTTACCCAAGTATGGGCATGTTTGCGCATACATGCACGCGCATACACAAATTATATCACACACACACACAAATTATATATGTCCTGACTCACTACTATGATCTAGGATTTTCAATTCAAAATACTTCTCCAATACAATTGTACACTTTTCCCCCCTTCAGTCATGGGGCCTGAACTCTGGGCCTGGGCACTGTTCCTCAGCTCTTCAGTCTAAGGCTAGTGCTCTACCACTTGAGCCACAGTGCCACTTCTGTCTTTTTCTGCTTATGTGGTACTGAGGAATCGAACCCAGGGCCTCATGCATGCAAGGCAAGCACTGTATCAATGAGCCACCTTCCCAGCCCCACGATTGTATACTTCTGCAGTGCACTCTTGTAACATTCATGTGACTAGCCAATCCATTCCTTTTCCTAAAAAAGTTTAATGACAACCTCAGTAGGTTATACCTGGTAATGTCCACCAAAATTATGTCTTACAACCTCCACCCCTTTCCCTAGTGCCCCAGCCACACCAATATGCCTAGTACTCTGACCAGGAGATATAACCTGTTAGTGGATGCTCCTGCCCAAGGCTTCAGATCCTCTCAAAGTTTTGTCTCAGGTGTGACAAAAGGATCAGGATAGTGACTAATATGGTGAGCAGCAAGTACCATGGTATTTGACTCCAAGATTGATGAACTGGACAAGAGAAACTCTCAGGTCTCCTGTCCTTAGTCCCTCTGAAAACTCGAGAATAAATTTTTCCTAAACTGAGGATCTCACAACTGCAATCCTAGAATAAATTTTTCCTAAGCTGAGGATCTCACAGCTTCAATCCTAGCTATTCAGGAAGCTGAGATCTGAGAGTCACAGTTCAAAGACAGCCCAGAGAGTAAAATCCATAAGACTCTTACCTCCAATTAATCACCAAAAAGTAGAAATGGAGGTATGGCTCAAGTGGTAGAATGTCAGTCTTCAGTGAAAAAAGCTAAAGGGCCAGTACTCAGGCCCTGAGTTCAAGGCTAAGTCTAGGCACAAAAAAAGTGTTTGTGTAGCATCATGGTATAAACAAAAGCAGAGATTGAAGGAATGCTGCCTAGGTGTCAATTAACTAGTCACTGCCACTCTCCAGTTTCTCAGTCACTTGGTAAAGGGATAAGAAGAGGTTATCCATAGCTGACAGGGGCCTGAGGCCTGACTTAAGAGTTTATCAGGCTTTTTTCCCTCCCTCTAGCTGCCTCTGGAACCTAGTAAAAACTTGGAATTGTAGCCACCAGCTCTGTGGGTTGCATACTCCCACCCCATCGCTGACCCCAGGCCTGGGGCTGAGCCCAGTGCGTGTGCCGAGAGTGGGAGGCAGGGAGATGTTGGCCTTGCTGACAAAATCCATTTGGAATTTGTCAAGGTTGTGGTTTGGGTCTTAAGTTTGCCACAGAGTGTGTCTGATGAAAGAAGTGGGAAAGCTACAAAAGAGAGAGAGCCAAAGGCACTACAGAGGAAGGAAACAGGAGAAAGTTTAAGTATTCTTGCTACAACTCCATTAGAGATTCTCCTTCCTCTTTCTGAAGGTGAGCTATTCCCCCTCAGTATGTTCTTTTTTTTTGTTTTGTTTTTGTTTTTTTTTTCGGTCGTGGGGCTTGAACTCTGGGCCTGGGCGCTGTCCCTCAGCTCTTCAGCTCAAGGCGAGCACTCTACCACTCGAGCTACAGCGCCACTTCCGGTTTTCTGGTGGTTTATTGGAGATAGGAGTCTCACAGTCTCTCCTGCCCGGGCTGGCTTTGAACCACAATCCTCAGATCTCAGCCTCCTGCGTAGCTAGGATTACAGGCGTGAACCACCAGCGCCCGGCTCCTCAGTATGTTCTTTAGATATGTTCCTTATAGCCTAAACCCATTTTTACTGTATCCCTTCACTCTTTCCCTTCCTCCCATACAGACTAATTCAGCAACCACCTGAAGCAAGGATTGGCTATTTTCTGGCACCACCAAATTTCCAAATCCAGAAGTTTTGGTGCTCAAGTGAAAATTTAGGACATAAAATGTTGCTTAGGTGGCTCATGCCTGTAATCCTAGCTACTCAGGAGGCTGAGATCTATGGATTGCCGTTCAAAGCCAACCCAGGCAGGAAAGTCTGTGAGACTTATCTCCAATTAACCACCAGAAAACGGGAAGTGGCACTGTGGCTCAAGTGCTAGGATGTTTGCCTTGAGTTGAAGAGCTCAGGGATAGCGCCCAGGCCCAAAGTTCAAGCCCCATAACTCACCAAAAAAAAAAAAAAATGTTGCTTAGCTCTGGTGGCCCAAGCCTGTAATCTAGCTACTCAGGAGGCTGAAATATGAGGATGATGGTTCAAAACCAGCCTGGGCAGAAAAGTCCATGAGACTTTTATCTCCAGTTAACAAGCAAAAAGCTGGAAGTGGAGGTGGGTTCAAGTGATAGAAAGCCAGCCTTAAGCGAAAAAGCTAAGGAACAGTGTTCAGGCTTTGAGTTCAAGCCCTAGTACTGGCACACACACACAAAAAGTTGCTATAGCCATGTGCTGATGATTCACACCTGTAATCCTACTACTCAGGAGGCTGAGATCTGAGGATCATGGTTCAAGCCAGCCCAGTCAGCAAAATCTGAGAGACTCTTATCATTAATAAATTACCAAAAAGAGCCAGAAGTGGCACTGTAACTCATGTGGTAGAGCACTAGCTTTGAGCAAAAAAAAAAAAAAAGAAGCTCAGGGACAGAGGCCAGGCCCTGAGGGTAAGCCCCTGTATCAGCAAAAAAAAAAAAAAACTTACTCCCTAACTGAACACTCCTCAAATTTTACTTGCTACTCTGGTACTCTGGTACTTTGGTACTTTGGTAATTTGCCTGACTTAAGCAAGGGTAATTGTATAGAGTAGACATATCTATTGCCTTAGAGAAGTGGAATTATTTCTGTGTTCCCCAACAAAGGCAGTAACTCATCAAAAATCACAATCTAGGGGCTGGGAAGGTGGCTCAGTGGTAGAGCACTTGCCTTGCATGCTTGAGGCCCTGGGTTCGATTCCTCAGCACCATGTAAGCAAAAAAGAAAAAAGCCAGAAGTGGCGCTGTGACTCAACTGGTAGAGCACTAGCCTTGAGCTGAAGAGCTGAGGGAGAGCACCCAGACCCAGAGTTCAGGCCCCATGACCAGACCCAAAAAAAAAAAATCACAATCTAGAAGGCCCCTACCCATATAGCCATTTGTAAAGTTCTCTGTGTGTGTTGTGTTCGTTTTTCACATTGTATACTGAAAAGATAAGTTTTGGTTGTTTTTTTCTCTAAGATAGGACTAGGAATAGAGAGACTGAAACAAAAGAAATTCTGTTCACTCTACCACTTAGATAAAGGAATTATTTTACTATTAAATATGAAGAAACCCTGAATAAGGAAAGACAAAATACATTTGCAAATAATTCAGTGGTAGAGCATGGTAGTTCTGGTGGTTTCTGGGGAGGGGAGGGACTCCCATATTTAGCTGGGTATGGTCCTTGCAGCCTCAGCACTCAGGAGGCTGAGGCAAGAAGATCACTAGTTCAAGGCCACACACAGACACACCCCCCAAAAAAACTGAGTGCAGAGAGCTCTTGCCTATAGTCCTAGCTACTCAGGCAGTTGAGATCTGAGAATCACAATTTGGAGCCAGCTGGAGCAGACACATCCAAGAGACTCTTTTTTCCCATTAGACAGCAAAAAGATGAAACAAATTAAGACAAGTAGCTAGAGGCATGACTCAGCAATATCTGCCTAGGGAGCATGATTGGAATTCAGACCCCAGTACCACTAAAACAAAATTAAAAAAAAAAAAAAAACACAACAAAACAGCAGCTGGCACTGGTGGCTCACACCTGTAATCTTAGCTACTCAGAAGGGTGAGACCCAAGGATCACTGCTCAAAGTGGGATTGGGCAGGAAAGTCCAAAGTCTGGAGACTAATCTCTAATTAGCCACCAGAAATCCAGAAGTGGAACTGCAGCTGTGGATCAAAGTAGTAGAGCACTTGCTTTGAGCAAAAAAGCTCAGGGATAGCAACCAGGCCCTGAGTTCAAGCCCCAGGACCAACCAAAAAAATAAATAAAGGCAAATCTTCAATTTTGAGCATAAAAATTCTTTTTGTATGTTTCCCATCAGTCTTACAGCTATTTCTGTAGTTCTCTGGTTTTGAGGCAGAAAAGTATCTTTCGGGTCATAGTTCAGAGCTAAGATACATACATCAGCTAGGCACTGGTGGCTCATTCCTGTAATCCTCAGGAAGTAATTACTCAGGAAGTTAAGATCCAGAGGATTAGAATTCAAAGCCAGTGGGGGCAGAAAAGTTCCAGAGACTCCACTCCAAAAAATAACCAGCAAAATTCAGGGCTGGAGGCATGACTTAAGCAGTAGAGTGCCACCAAGTGAACAAGCAAGAGACCCTGAGTTCAAATCCCAGTACCATCAAAGCAGAGAAGACTTCCTAATATATAGGATAAGGGCCAATCACACTGTAGCCAGAGGACTAAATCTGGTACTGCAGTCAATTTTTGTGAATTAAGTTTTATTGAAAACAGCCACTCCCATTCATTCATTTATGGTCTACGGCTGCTTTTATTTCTCTCTACACTCACGCTCTTCTGTGGCTGCTTTTGGTCTATAGCAGCAGAGGTGAGTTGTTATGGCAGAGTTGAGTATATGAGACAAAGACCATAATGCACATAGCCTACTACATTTACCTTTTACAGAAAAAAGAAAAAAAAAGTTCAAGCCTCATTGAAGGCAGGGATCAAAGTGATCATTGGAGTTGTGCTGAGTTGAGAAGGAGGTCTACATTAAGATCTCTAGCCCTCCATCCCTAGAATTCCCTCCTGGTTTTGCAAACTAAATTTTGTCAGTTAAGTCATGAGAATCATTCCAAATCCTGTGTGGAACTCAGCAGGATATACATAAATGAAGTTAGTGAGTACAATGGTATAGAATTCAGCTGGGTGCACGTGGCTCATGCCTATATTCCTAGCTATTCAGGAGGCTGAGATCTAAGAATTGTGGTTCAAAGCCAGCCTGTGTAGCAATGTCCCTATGAGACTCTTATCTCCAATTAACCACTCAAAAAACCAGAAGTGGCACTGTCGCTCAAAGTGGTAGAACACTAGCTTCCAGTGAAAGAACTCAGGGACAGCCCCCCAGGCTCTGAGTTCAAACCACACAAATGACAAAAAAAGAAACCATAAGCTGACAATCCAAGTGTGTCTAGATATGTCATCAGTCCACTAGTCAGTAGCTTAATTTATTTTTGTTTCAAACAAGTCTCAGTACAATAAATTATCCATTCCCACCCCTCTTACTGAAGAAGGAAAAAAGAGAGAAAGAGACTCCAAGAGTCCCAGGTAAAACCCTTTCTTTAGAGAGACCTTTTTTTTTTTCTTTTAACATGAATGGAAAAAGACATCTTCCCTAAGGTCCTGGATCAAAGACTCTCTGAAGATTCAGGGGAGAAACACCATTCTTCCCTCATCCTTTCCCCAAGAAAAACATCTCTACCATTCCTGATTCCCAGTCCATATGAGGGCATCCAAATTGTGGTAGATGAGTTTGGAAACCACAAGTAGGAGGGAGCGGTCTCTTTTTAGATATAGGACAATAGTGTCCCAGAGGGTCTGGATTTATCCTTTGAGGAAAGGAGAGTGGACAAAGTATAGGGCCTCCCCAGCCAGAAAGAGTAGGAATCAGAGTTTAAGAGACCCTGGAGGCTGAGAAGGGGGGAAAGCAATACAGTGCATTTCATCTCTAACCATTTAGATGTGTAAAGAGCAGATGGCTTCCATCACTGGAAGACCTTCCAATTGTTGGGAGATGGCTACATAGCACAGACTTCACCTGTTCCCCCATACACATCCAAGCTGTTTCTGGATAGATACTTTTGAGATTCCAGGAATCGAGATTGGCCCTCGACCAAAAGCAAAGGGCTGAAAAGATGCCCTTCTCATACAGCCCCCTTCTCTAGCCCCAAGAAGAGGGTGACCCTCACTTACACACGTTGACCCATTCTGTGACTTTGCATTCATCACACAGCACATAACAGCACCAGTGGAAGCGACAGTGGCAGCGTTCCACACGTGTCTGCCGAAGCACATTGTGCCCTCGCCCACAGCACAGGCTGCCACAGCCATCCAACAGGCGACTGGTCTTATTGCAGGCCCGGCCTCTTGTGCCAGGGGAGCCCACGGTGGGGTCTCGCTCACAGAAGTCAGGAGACTTCTCAAAGTAGACCAACTCTCCTGAGAGGCGCCGGGGGCGCAGACGAGGTTGGAAGGCTCCAGAATTCCGGTTGTGAGTATCGATGAAGATGGCTCTGCCCAGCCGCTCTTTCAAAGCTGCTCCCACGGCCCGGAACTCTGGGGCTGCTCTCCAGCATGTCTTGAACTGGCAGCTGCCTGATGTGCCATGACACTTGCATTTTCGCTTCAGGTTTTCAGTTACCACCTAGAAGCATCAGAAAGGAAAGAGGTGAGAAGAGGGCAACAAACCAAGTGCCACTTGTAATCCTCACGCCTCATGAGGCTGAGATCTGAAGATCATGATTTGAAGCCAGCCAGGGCAGGAAAGCCTGTAAGATTCTTATCTCCTACTAACCACCAGAAAGCTGTAAGGGTAGCTGTGATTCAAGTGGGTAGAGCACTAGTATTAAGCAATAAAGCTCAGGGACAGTGGCCAGGCTCTCAGTTTAAGGCTCAGGATCACCACAAGAAGGAGGAGGAGGAAAAGGAGGAAGAGGAGGAGGCGCAGGAGGAGGAGGAGGCAGCATCGGCAATAAGTAGATTACATAGATGCAGGAGAGGAAAGGGTAGAGAATGAAGGAGAGAGCAAAGGGAATATTAGAAGAGAAAGGGTAACTCTTCTTTTTTTTGGGGGGGGGTTCAGTCGTGGGGCCTGAACTCTGGGCGCTGCCCCTTAGCTCTTCAGCTCAAGGCTAGCGCTCTACCACTTGAGCCACAGCACCACTTCCGGCTTTTTTATTTTTGCTTATGTGGTGCTGAGGAATCAAACCCAGAGCCTCATGCATGCAAGGCAAGCGCTCTACCACTGAGCCACCTTCCCAGCACCTCTTCCTCCTCTTCTTCTTCTTTTTTTTTTTTTTTTTTTTTTGGCCAGTCCTGGGGCTTGAACTTAGGGCCTGGGCACTGTCCCTGAGCTTCTTTTGCTCAAGACTAGTATTCTACCACTTGAGCAACAGCACCACTTCTGGCTTTTTCTATTTATGTGGTACTGAGGAATTGAACCCAGGGCTTCATGAATGCTAGGCTAACACTCTACCACTAAGCCACACTCCCAGCCAAAGGCAACTCTTTATGACTGGAGGATTGCCAACGCAGTGTAATTTGCCCATTTAATCCCTATTTAGTAACAGAACCAAGACTGGACTTCAGTTGCCCTGACTCTCAATTCAATGCTATTTCCAGAATAAGTACTGATAAAATGGGAAATGTGACCTAGGGCACTCCCAAAAGCCTGTAGGACATACAGCTATAATAACAGCTGTCATGTAATGAGCCAAGGACTAGTCGTATATGGGGCTCACTGTCTGCTAGCTCAGCTTTAACATCACTGTAATTGTGGGTTATCATCAGGCTCTTTCCATAGATGTTAAAACCTAGGCTGGGTAACTTGCTAATGGCAAGCGATGATCTATCACACCTCATCCAGTTACTCTGCGGGGAATCTCAGACTCACTCTAGTCAGTGTTCAAAGAAAGAGAGAAACAGGCATGGTGATACACACCTGTAATCCTAACACTGGAGAGGCTGAGGTAGGAGGCCAAACTTCTTAGGGCTACACAGCAAAACTTCATCACCAAAAGAAGAAAATAAAAGAAAATGGAAAAGAAAAAGGAAAGGGAAGAGGGAGCTGCTGGGTACTGGGTACAAGTGGCTGAAGCCTGTAATCCTAGCTACTCAGGAGACTGAGATCTGAGGATTGCAACTCAAAGCCAGCCTGGGCAGGAAAGTCTGTGAGACTTGTATCTCCAATTAACTATCAATAAGCTGGGGAAGGCAAGTCCAGTGGTTCATGCCTGTAACTCTTGCTACTCAGGAGCTGAGGTCTGAGGATCACAGTTCAAAGCCAGCCCTGGCAGGAAATCCTGTGAGACTCATCTCCACTAAACTATTTAGAAAATGCTGGAAGTGGAGGCTGTGGCTCAAGTGGGAGAGTGCTAGCCTTGAGTACAAAGCAGCTCAGGGACAGCACCTGGGCCCTGAGTTCAAGCCCCAAACAGGCAAAAAAAAATCTGGAGAAGTAGAGTAGAGCTTTGGCTCAGAGCAGTAGTGTGCTAGCTTTGAGGGTGGGGGAAAAAAAAGCTCAGGAAAAGCACCCTGGCCCTGAGTTAGAGCCCCATAACTGGCTTGTAGCTCAAGTGGTAGAGCACTAGCTTTGAAAAAGCTCAGAGACAGTACTCAGGCCCCAAGTTCACACCCCAGTACCAGCACCAAAAAGGAGGAAGAGCCAAGTGTCAGTGGCTCATGCCTGTAATCCTAGCTACTCAAGAGGCTGAGATCTGAGTATCATGGTTCAAAGCCAGTCCAGGCAGGAAAAATCTGTGAGACTCTTTTCTCCAATAAATCACCAGAAAACCTGAAGTGGCGCTGTGGCTCAAGTGGTAGAGTGCTTGCCTTGAGCTGAAGAGCTGAGGGGCAGCACCCAGACCCAGAGTTCAAACCCCACAACCAACCAAAAAAAAAGAAGAAGAAGAAAGAGGAGGGGGAGGAAGAGAAAGAGGAAGAGGGGAGACAAAGGATAGAAAAACAAAATGGGAAAGAAATACCAGGGGATGGCAGGGCACTCACTGGTGGCTCACACCTGTAGTCCTAGATACTCAGGAGGCTGACATCTGAGAATCACAGTTCAAAACCAGCCTGGGCAGAAAAGTCCTTGAGACTTTTATCTCCAGTTAACTATCAGAAAACCAAATGGAGCACTGTGAGCAAAAGAGCTCAGGGACAGTGCCCAGGCCCTGAGTTCAAACTCCTTGACTAACAAGAAATAGGAAGAGGAAGAAGAGGAGGAGGAGGAGCAGGAGGAAAAAAGAAACAAACAAAAGAAAACCTGGAGAGACCCAGGACAACAATAACAACAACACACACACACACACACACACACACACACACACACACACACACATACCTGGCGTCCCACCCTGTTGTTGTGGATCCTCATTCGTGCCTGGATGTCTCGAGGAGCTTCCCTGGAATCCAAGAAATCCCGAGAGAACTTCTCTCCAAAGTCCATGTCATGGTTACAGCCACCCCATTCCCATGTGTCTTGAGGGCCAGGGTTGGGGCCTGAACCAGGCACAGGGCTAGGCAGGGAGTGGGGGAAACTCTTGCCCCTAGATAGTGCTTGTAGCTGCAGTAGCTTGGCCCTCAGCCGATCCTGCTCACCACTGCCCTTCCAGCCACAGCCACAGCTCACCAGCTTCCCCAGGCTGCAGGCTGTGGCGACTGCGTGCATGACCCCAGCTGCCAGCATGGAGAAGGAGAAAGCACTTTCCCGGAAACCTGGGGATGAGAAAGAAGGGTATGATGGTGCAAATAAAGTGGATAGGCGGATGGGAAGCGAGATGTAGTCCACCTCCTTGCCAGAAATTTTCTAACTGAATTTTAACAGCTGAGTGAATTGAGAGAAGAAAGTCATGGGGCAGGAAAGAATGGACAGGGTATCAGTCTCCTTATGTATAAAGGGAGACCCATGGGTCCAATATGATCTCTAAGGCCCCTTCTCAGACACTGTAAACTCAGGTGCAGATGAAAGAGTCAGCCCAGAGGCAGAGACCCTCTAGATTGGGAGAGGACTGTGAGGAAGTCCCTGAGGGCTTTGAAGATGTTTCAAGGAGTTCTACATCTGAAAGACTTAGAAATTCCCCAGCCCTGCAGGGAGCTTGGGTGATGGGTAAGGTGTGCCAAGCCGAACTCTTAGAGGTTCTTCTTTTATTTTTTTTCAGGGTTATTTAAATTAGTCTTTTAACCAGTCTACCCTCTACTACTGGAACACCCCCAACACACTGGAGGCTGTGGGGCTGCCTTTCCCAGTCCCAGGTTCCCGGGTTTATATTTGCCCTTCAAGACTGCCCTTTATGTTTATCCTAACCTGCCATTACCCTATAAAATACTAGGAGGAGGAGAAAAGGGGGTGGGGAATGGTGTGATTTTCCCAAAGGCCCTCTTAAAACCTTGACCTCTTTGTTGTTGTTGTTGTTGTTTGGGGGGTATCACAGAGGCTAAGGATGACAATGCTTTCCCAAGTTTAGATAGACTTGCTGATCATTTGGGTATTGAAGCCTTTCCCTACCCCCCTGGCAAAAGAGTGGTCAGTCCATTGCTTCATTTTAAGCAAGGGCTTTTTGGTGCCCGGAGAAGAGAAAAGGCATCACCTCCTTAGATCCTAGGCCTCTCTTACCCCAGGATCCAGGACTCCCAGGCCAGCCTCACAATTCCCCCCCCCCCTACACACACACCCCCAATCTTCCAAGAGCGAAGCTGTTTGCACACGTCTTGGGAATTCCCCAGCAGTAGGCAGCTGCCTATTAACCCCCTAGTCCCCAAAGCATGACTCCCACCCCTAGGTTTTGCCCCCATGGATCTTTACTCCTCCGGGGCATGAACTTCCAGCAGGACTTGGGGGAGAGGCAATGGAGCCTCCCAGACCATCCCTCCAGACCAGGCCAGCAGTGGCCTGTTCACCACCCCTCCAGCCATGCCTCACCTGCTCAGGTGAGTGACATCTCGGGCCCCCACAGCACAGAGGAAGGGGCTGCTCCCCAGCTTCAAAGCCATCAGGGTCTTTGTTCCCAGCTTTGGCTCCTGGGAACCCCAGCAATTAGGGGAGCAGGTTTAACCCTTAAACGGTTGGGGGCGTCACCCCACCCCCGCTGAGACTCTGGGGACACCAGCCTGGGCTTGTCCCGGTGGAGAGAGGAGAGGAAAAATGAGGGAGGGGGGGGTGGGTGGGAGGACGTTTGAAGCTTCCAAAGTTGGGGCATCTCTCGTTCACAGGTGCAACCCCAGACAGCGTTGGGGGGAAGCAGGAAAGGGAGGGGGCTGGCTAAGGAAAGGGGAGCAGGCACTGGGCTGCATTGCCAGCAGCCCGCAGGTGGAAGTGAAGAGACACAGACGGGTGGCCAGAGCCGGCTCTGCGTGGCTCCAGGAGGGAAATTCCCGGAGAGGCCCCTCTCAGAGCGGTGAACTGGTCCCTTCTCGCCTCTACCTGTTCCCCCCCCCAACCCAACCCACCCCCTAAGCCTGGGCGGCAGCATTGACCCGCCCAGCCAGGCTCACCGCGTTTGAGGATGGCGCTGTGGTGCGGCAGGCGGCCACCGCCCTCGAGCGCTGAGCAGTTCCAGCGCTGGTCGCGCAGCTGGTGCTGACACTCGTGGACAGCAATGTGCAGACCCTGAAGCGCGGACGCTGTCACGTCGGGGCTGCGCAGGCACAGGCCTAGCTGACGCTTACTCAGGCCTGACAGTGTCAAGCACACTGTGTTGGCTGTCAGTGGTGGCTCACCGGGCAGCTTCAGGCCCAAAATTTCATTGCTTAAAGCCCTAGGAACCGAGAAGGCATCTTGGGGGGGTCTGTGGCCCAAGCCTCACATTCTCACATTCTCTCCAATATCCCCAACACACACACACACACACACACACACACTTCCCCATCCCAGCTGGAAGACAGGAACGACTCACCGACTGCACAAGGCCAAGAACAGGAGACTGGCGAGGCCCGAGGGCGGTGGCCGTAGCAGGGGCTCCTCCAGCATGTCGAAGCCCGGAGGCTCCGGTGGGCAGATCGGTCAACCGCCTGTTGGGCACGATGATTAGGGTTCTAGAAGAGGGTCCCAGAAACCTAAGGATGCTCTCCTTAAGTGTCCTGAGCCACCGATGCCACCTCATTGAGCTTTTTTACCCATCCCCTAACAAAGCAACTAGAATCACCCCCCCCCCCCCCCGCCTTGCTTTCCAGACTCCTGAGTTCTAGAGCCTTAAAAAGAAGACTCCAAGAGCACCCCCCAACCCTATCCAATCAGACACGAAGCTGGGCACACACACACACACACACACACACAGAGTTGGACTCTCCACCTCTCCCTTCAGGACCTCACCCACTGCTCCCTCTTCCAGGGCCCCACAACTGGCTTCTCCACCCCTATGGGCTAGCAGAGAGATCAGGAAGGGGGTTCCCCACCACATGAGGGGGTCTCCTTTCCAGGTGCTGACAATAGCAGGCAAGCTCTAGCAGAAGGGGCTAAGACCAGCCTCCCCGCCCCCACTTTATGCCCTGGCCCACCTAGCAGGAAAAGTAGAGAGGCTCCAGGTGTGACAAAGGCCATGAAGGAAACCTGGCGCCAGCGAGGGACATTGTCCTCTTCTCTCTTCCCCCTCCCAACCCCTTTACCTAAGGACATGCTTTCTGGTCCCCACGTTCCTCAACCTCGGTCCCCACCTCTTTGCTCTCCAGTTCATTGCCCTCTAAATTTGGAGACACTCCTTTATTCTCTGTGCTTTTATCTCTAGCAATATCTCTGGCTCTCTCTGTGTTGTCTGTGCTCCTGTGGGTGGATGTGTACCTATCTGTCTGTCTGACTTATCCATGTGTCTATCCGGTCCCAAATGTGTACCTCTCTGCCCTCCCTTGCTTTCCCAGGTCCCATTACCTCCAGTGGTTCGGGTTGCACGGTCTGCGACCCGCGCGGCTGCGTCGCCTGAGCTCCGCTTGGACTGCTTTAAACCGTGGGGAGATTGGATCGGGATCTGCCCCCTCGGCAGAGCCGCATTCTTCCAGGGCCGGGCCACTCCTCTGCGCCGCTTCCCCAGCGCCGCCGCGGCCGCCGGGAGGAAGGGAGGGAGGAAGAAGGGAGGGAGTGATCAAGAGAACCAGCAAGCTAGAAAAGCACTGGGGGCTCTGCCTCGGCTCGGTCCTAACTTACAGGCGGCTCGACTGGAGCTGACGGAGCTGCGGCCCCTCCCCGAGCCCCGGGCATCCCCACCCCACCCCTTCGCACCCCCCCACCCCGCCTTGACCAGGGGAACACAGCCCTCTGCCCCCCCCCTTCCAGCGTACACATACACACACACACCCTTTCCCCCGACGCCCCGATTCAGGCTTGGCCCCACTGAAGGAGGAGATGGCTACAAGTCCCTCTCACCTGCTCTTGGGAGGGTTCAAAGATCCAGCCTAGGAAGAAAGCAGGACCCGATCCAAATGGCACTGTCTTTCATCATTTTCCCCTTTGCCTCAGTTTCTCCAGCGACAGCGGGGTGGATGGTGAGCTCCTTTAACAAGAGGAGGACGGAGCTGGACTGTCTTTGGTTTCAGGCGTTGGACAGTCGCTTGGTGAGTCCAGCGAGTGAGCGCACCACGGGTCACTCGGAGCCCGCGGAGAAAGGCGCTGCGCCGCCGCCCCGCCGAGTGGCTTGGCCCCCGCCCACCTCGGAGCCCAAGCCTGCCCCTTGGGAGGGGTCAACTTTGGCCTCGGAATTTGGCCTGGAAAACACACACACACACACACACACACACACACACACACACACACACACACACACGAACCTCAGGTAGTTCTGCCCTTGCACCTCTCTTCCCTGGTAGGCGATCAAGGGTTTCTCTCCCGACATTTCTTGGTGGGGTTGCAATTCTCATGGCTGAGATTCCTGCTCCACGCTCGCAGATTTTCTTCCTATGGTCTGAGGAAGGCCTCAAGTTTCCAAATTGAGCTCAGCTCATAGGCAACTGGGATAGAACCCAGTCTTGGGGTGTCCAGGCACAGGGTGGGGGAAAAGCCTTAAGGAATTCCAGCGGCAGTGAAGGGGTTAGGCGCCACCGCACTCCTGCTTGACTCACCCTCATAGCTCTAACCACTTCGGACTATTTTTGCCAGAGAGGGGCCCCAGGCTTCCCAACCGCCCCCAGCCCCTGCCAGACCGCAGCCCAAAGCATGGCTGGCCCCACGCACCCGAGGCGCATTGACTCAGAGACACCCCCTACTCCCCAGTAAGCAGAAGCTCTGGGTTGATATCCAGGAGACCACAGTCACCTCTTCATTGGGAGTGGCAGACAGTTCTGTTGGGCAGCCAGCTTGCAGTCTGTATCGTGACAGGTCTTGCCTTGTACTGAAGAGGTGACACTGGCTGGGAGGCAGAATACTCTGCCAGGAGATCAGGGATTTAGATTCATTACATGTGTGTCTTGCAGCATGAACTCAGGCCTAGACACTATCCCTGAGCCCTTTTGCTCAAAGCTAGTGCTCTACCACTTTGAGCCACAGTATCATTTCCGGCTTTTGGAGAGTTAATTGGTGATACCAGTCTCATACATCTTCCTTCCCAGGCTAGCTTTGAACTATGATGTTCAGATCTCAGCCTCCTGAGTAGCTAAGATGACAGGCATGAGCCACCAGCACAACAGCTTTATTGGGATTTTTACTAACCATCTTATGTGTTAGACTGAACAGGCTGGGAGGCAAAAGTGCCAGGAGCTGATGACCTGAACAGGCCTGGACCACCAAAGGTCACTTTTCTCTGATTTCCTATCCATGAGATAGCGAACTCCAGACTTTCCTCTCCCCATGCTAAGTCATGTGTGGCTTTTGATGCCATTAGAATCCACAAGCTCTGTCCCAGTGGTTTCCATCCTCACACCTGGATTCCTCAATCCCTATCCATGTCCTTGTCCTTTTTCCTACATGTCAGCTTGGGACTCCACCCAGGACCCTAGAGGACTTGGATGAGGTATGAAATTTCCTCACTTTCTCCATGGACCTTTGTATTTCTCCATATACCTGTGGTCTCCCTCATGTTACTTTTTTTTCTTTTTTCTTTTTCTCTTTCTTTCTTTCCTTCCTTCCTTCCTTCTCCTCCTCCTCCTCCTCGTGCTCTTCCTCCTCCTCCTCCTCCTTCTTCTTTTTTGGTGCTGGTCCTGGGTCATGAACTCAGGGCCTGGGCATTGTCCTTGAACTTTTATTTATTTATTTTTGTTTTACTTATTTATTTATTTATTTGGTTATCATGGGGCTTGAACTCTGGGACTGGACACTGTCCCTCAGCTCATCAGCTCAAGGCAAGCCCTACACCACTTGAGTCACAGTGCCACTTCTGGTTTTTGGCAGTTAATTGGAGATCAGAGTCTCATGGACATAGACATTCCTACCCGGGCTGGCTTTGAACTGCCATCCTAGGATCTCAGCCTCCTGAATAGCTAGGATTACAGGCTTGACCACCAGTGCCTGGTGGCCTTGAACTTTTTTTTTTTTTGTCTTTTTTTTGGTGAAAATAATGTACAGAGGAGTTACAATTACATGAGCAAGCCTTGAACTTTTAAAATAAAGGCTAACACCCTACAACTTGAGCCATAGATCCACTTCCAGCTTTTTTGGTGATTAATTGGAGATTAGAGTCTCACAAAATTACCTGCCCAGGTAGGCTTTGAACCATGATCCTCAGATCTCAGCCTCCAGAGTAACTAGGCTTACAGGCATGAGCCACCTGGGACCCACACATGTTTAAATTTTTGTTTTACCTTGTTTTATTATTATTCTTTTTTTCCTCCTCTGATGCTATCTTATCAGAGTCCAGAACATGTAGTCAGGTGTCTAGAAGTGGTTGGAGTCAGAACTCCACCCTAAGTTTCTACTTCTTAGTGATCTGGGGGATTCCCCCCAAGCTGGACTGCTCCAAAAGCAAAAACCTATACTCCTGCTTCCTCTTCCCCACTGCAGCCTAGCTCTGGGATAGGAGGCCACAGGCAGGCCTACTGGGTGGCCTGAGCTGGCCCACAGTGCCCTCGGCCCGACCGGTTGGCCTGAGCACTGACCCGCAGGCAGCTAGGGGGCGGTGGGACAGGCGGGGCCTGGAGAGGGCTGCGGGTGCACACCCATTGCCTAATACCCCAAGCACGCAGCCAACTCCAGGAAAGGGAGGGGCGGGAACCAGAGAGACCTTGACAAGGGCTGGGAGGGTGACAGGAGTGGGAAAGAAAGGGGCTGCCATCAGTGCAGGGAGGGAATGGGAGCAAGTTGACCTCCTTTTGCTCTTGATGAGAATAGGAGGCTGATCTTCCCATCATGGAGATGGAGGGTGTAGCAAGAACAGTGAGGGAAGAACTCTGGGGCCCTGGAGGGCGGGGGTCAAAGAAAAGAGTGGGGGCCCCTGGAGATTGGGGGAGCTAGCAACTGAGGCGGTGGCTAAAGCTGGGCCAGCCTTTGGGAACCTCTCCCCCCCCCCCCCTCACTATGTTTGCCTTGGCCCAGGGTCTCGGGTGACTCATCTGTTGCTAAGCCGCTGATAGGGGCGGCCAGGCTCGGGGAACCCAAATTATAGGCCCGGGAGGGATGGATGCGCCCGCGGCGGTGAGCTCAGCGGTGTTGCCTACCCTCCACCTCACACGCCTTCTGCTGCGGCGCCGAAAGCTACCACGCGGGGGCACCAGAGGGGCCCAGCCACGCTACTCTACTCAGGAAGCCCTGGTATATTCAGCCGTGAGCCTCAAGGAATCTTCTAGATCACCCTAGAGAGAATTTACCCACACTCTTGTCTGAGATGAGCTGTGCCTTCTCAGTCCAAGAGGGTAATGCTACTGCCTGTTGGTGCTTCAAAGGAAGTAGGATCGATTGTCCACAAATGCTCAACCTTGGTCCCTTGGTATTCTCCCAGATTCCAAGGTCAAAAAAATAACTCCTTGCCCCTTCAATATTTCTCCCCTATTTCTATTATAGAGGGTAGTTTTGCTACAGAATTTTCTACTTCAAGCCACTGGAATTATCTACAG